CCCCAACCCCCCATTATTAGGTGGTAGAAATGAAGCTGACTAAGTAAACTGACTCTAAATTGGATTTTCCCATTAATACCAAAAGGACTGGCTCTTCTCAGAAATCTGTGCTGAGCGGGTAGCAGCATTCAGTGGAGCTTGCTACATGGCTCTGGGTCCCCAGTGTCCCAAGGGCAATGATATGAAAGGCTCTGCTCTTGCTGAAAATTGGAGTGGGGAGCGGCAGACAAAGAGCTTTGAGAATTCTGCTTTTAAACAGGAAATAGTGCTTATGTAGGAATCAATCCAGAGTGGGAAAACAATTTTTCTAAGTACTTGGGGGTTTTTTAAACTCGTTTTGGAAGCCTTTTTAGTTATGATTTGCAAACTCAGTAGGCACTCAGTAGGCAACAACTTCTGCTGTTTGGAAGGCTTTTGTGATCTCTACTATTGCTTTTTTAAAAAACTTTTCTTTCTATTTTCCCGGGGGGGGGGAACGGACACACGACACACCAAACAAAAAACCTCACGCATCTGAAGCAAGCTAGTTTGCATCCTGGTTCACAGGAAGGGTCCTATAGTCCTGACAATTAACAACCTGTCATTAGGTCACAGATCAGGTATGATTTTAATTGGGAAGCTCCTGCCACCTTGTGGCAAGAACTTTCACCTTTCTTCAATCAAAAGAATTAAACGGGATACCAGTTACCTTTGTAGAACCAATGTGTAGCTAAACAAACAGAAAGCAGGAAGAACACACTTTGTTTGGTTTGCTTCACTATTTGGGCATTATGACTTGTAAATATTACTAGTATTTTAAAATAAGCATAATTTAAATGAATAGATAAGCTTATTACAAGTTTGGGTTGGTTCGTTTGTTTTTCCCTGCAGCTGCTTCCTCCATCTTTCTTTCCAACACACTGCAGAAATTAATTCTGTGGAAGTAGAATACTGGGCCAGGAGAGCCTACAGCAACTTTGGTATTTGTATAAAAAGTTGTTGACAAGAGTCATTGGTGGGTGCCAGTGTAGACTCATTTGTGCTCATCCTACGAGCTATCTGCTTTCATTATGGCACTATTTGCTTTCAACTGTAGGAAACATTTAGCTATAGCTTCCTTCCTAATGACTACAAAGATTTTGTGACATCTTGATGTGCTTCACGAAGCCCTTTCTCTGTTTAGAACATAGGAAAACAAAACCATCTGTGAAGAGAAACATTAGCCTTTGTACTCCTTCCTGTTTCTTTTGCATCTGGTAATCAGTGTCAAATCAAGTGGCTCTGTACGTACATGTCCTGAGAGTATATGGCATCATCTGGATGGTTTCAGGGATGCTGGTCAAACTAGGGTCCTGAAACTGTGGCAGTTTTAGCCACCCACAAGACAGATTAACATGGGAAAAAGAAGGTTTTTACCGACTTGGTTTGTAACTTCTTTGCTTTTCTAAACTTAGATTAAGATTTCTCGCAAGGTCTTATCTGAGAAATACATTGCAACCATGCTGATTTAAACAAATTAAAACAACAATGAACCTCTCTTCCCATCACCACCCCCTCCAAGTGTGAACTCAAGCCATTTTAGGACCTGAAACTAATACTGAGATCAGTAGAAGAAACAGATGGAATTTAATTTGCAATTCTTAAGACTGCCTGTATTGCTATTTTTATGCAAACAGAAATCTTTATACGTGGGATTTCCTCTTACTAACATGTTGTAACAGTTTCTAATAAAACACTGATAGCTGCACTCAAGAAATGCCAAACTGACAGCCTTGGAGATTGTAATCTTTACACGCAAGTAAGATACCAACTCTGGATACTTGATAAGCAGCATTTATAATACTGTGTTAGTGCGGCTTGTCCCTAAGCCATTTCACTATATGTGGTTTTAAAGATGATTCTCACACAAAACTATCTATGCCAAATGCTGGAGTGCTATTATGTAGCATAGATGATGCCATGACCTGGTAGAGTAGAAGGATTTTTATGGAGAAACCAAATTGCAATTAAAAATGGCTGCTGCAGTGGGCATCTGCATTTGCAAAGCCCTACTTTCCCAGCTGTAGTAACATACAGTTTATTCTGTGCTGGTAGTAAAGCCACTAGCGCTTTGGACACATAAGTATTGGAATTAGTGAAGCTGCTCTGTGGCTGGAACAAGCCTTCCTAGCGTGAAAAATAGTTTCAACACGTAATGTTATCCCTCTGTGTCCTGACAGCAGCTGGTATGAGTGTAAGTTCTGCAGTTGTTTTATAGCTTCTCAGCTTGCTCCAAAATACGTCTGAGGTGAATATAACATGATATAAACATAGTGATAGTTATTATCAGGGAGACACAGCTGTGTAACAACATTCTGGACAGTAAAGAGAGCTCTCAGGATATTTATTAAGAGAACAGTCCTACCAGATGGACTCTGCAGGAAGGACGTACATCACAAATGCCACATTATAAGAATGATTATACACAAACAGATGCTAAGGCTTATCCAGGGCTATTGGAATAAAAAGATAGAAGAAACCTGACTGTGAGCCAAAGGCAGAATTTGGCTTTTAGCAGCTTTAAAAATCAATTATGTTCTGAATCTGCAAAGAGATAAGCTGTTAAAAGTCAGGAGCTTAGTGGCTCAGCAAAAATTGTTCTTGAACAAGGAGTTGGTGAGTTTAGTTTTCCTGAAGGCATGTGGAAACGTAGTTTTAGGTAGAAATCAGATCAGAGATTAAACTTGACTTTACAAGGATAGAAAATAGGAAAAATAAATTACAAGTGATGGTGGTTATGTGGTATTTACTTACTTTAGAAGAAGGGGATGAGAATTTGAAAAGTTGAAAATTAACAAGGAAACATGAGTTGGAACTAGACTAAAGGTGGGAAAATTAATCTGAGCCTGGTTTTTTGCTTCTTTAAATTAAATTTGGAAAAGAGTTTCTTGTCATAAGCATGAAAATGGACCTGGACTGGATCAAGCTTCGGATTAGGTAGAGGATATTTTCTAAAGAAAATATTTGTCTTTTCTCTTGATACTAAATTAATATTGTTTAGGGTTCTTTAGTCCACATGAGTTGACGGTAAATATTTATAAGACAAGTTCACCAATGTGCAGCAGAATTCCAAGTGATGTGGGGCTTTCTGTTTAAGTTTACCAACTGCTGGGAACTGGAGGATTGATGACAGACGAATGTTCCAGTTAAGATAGGACTTGTGCAACAGCTCCATGCGATTTTTGATTGTGACACTTGGTTATTTCTCTGCAATGGAATCGTAAAAGCACAATGCCCTTTTGATTTTCTGTAGAAAGTATGAAGTAAAATAAAAATTACTTATTGTTAAACTGCAGGATCGTGTTTTTGCATGTATTTCTATGTTTCCAAACTGTCAGCTCCCAGAAAGGGAGTGAAAAGTCCTAGTAAGGATGTAAGTATCTTTGAAAAGGGCACCTGTACCTCGTGAGCATTTTGACCATTACAGATATTGTACAATGGCACTGTAAATCCTGATTAAAATCCAGCAGGTATAGTAATAAGGACTAGGTATTTATTGGCTTAGGTACAGTCAATGTGGCAAAATCAGGTCAGCAGTAAGGCACATGCCTCTACCTGTGTTTACTGTAAGTTCAAATCTAAGAGACTTCTCAGAGCAGGTCAGTGAGAGGATGAGAGGTAACATCACAGATTGCAGCGGGGGGGTGGGGG